AAAATAGTGAAAGGATTCATAATCATCATTTTTAAAATATTTTTTATGTATATTTTTATTTTTGAGAGAGAGAGAGAGAGAGAGAGAGACACGGAGCACAAGCAGGGGAGGGGCAGAGAGAGCAGGAGACACAGAATCCGAAGCAGACTCCAGGCTTCGAGCTGTCAGCACACAGCCCGACACGGGGCTTGAACCCACGAATACAAGATCATGACCTAAGCCAAAGTCAGACGCTCAACCGACCGAGCCACCCAGGCGCCGCCATGATCATTAATATTTTAAAGAAAGGAAATATTAAAACCTAATTAGACAAATTGTATTTATATTTATAACAAATAATAAACAGTGTAACGGAAAATATTTACCAGAACGGTACTGACTCTCCCTAAGTATCCCATTTCCCTCCCGTATCATCTCCTTCCCCCCACTCCCGAGAGGTTAGCAACCACTACCCTGTTTACTGTATCTGCCATTTATGTTATTAGTACACATATATGCAACCATTAAGACTATGTATTTTTCTGAATGTCTTTAAACTTTGTAATTGATACCAAACTGTGTGTAGCCTGTGCAACTTGGTTTTATACTAATATTGTTTCTGAAACATGTTATCCACGTTGATACACATTGTTCCAGTCTATTAGTTTTAATTGTCATATGGACTACTTTCAAATACCGAACTTCTCAATTCTCCTGATTATAGAATTAGCTTGTTTCCAACAATTTCAGATTGTTGTAGGGTTCTATTTTGCTAGTTTACAAAATTCTGAAATGCATATTTTCATAAATGTCTCCTGGTGCTTACCTGTGAACGTATCTCCAGGCTGTGTAACCAGAAATGGAATTCTAGAATTCTACCCTGTGTGTCTTCAACTTCACAACTGTGATTACTATTAAGGTTAAGAATCTTTTTTGTCTCACGTTCCTCTTCTGTAAAATGCCAGTTAATATCCTTAGCCATTTTTTTTTTTACACTGTGTGTGTGTGGTTTGCTTTGGGTTTTGGTTAATATTCAGGAATTGTTTACT